ATTGTGCGACGAATTGATTGCGACGAATTGGATGCGACAAATTGACTTGCGACGAATTGATCTAGTACCGACGAAGAATCGTGAAAGTGCGCATTTGTTATTACAAAAAAAAAAGATGTTAGTCTTGGAAGTATATAGCTCTTCAAAACAGATTTTGGGGTTCAATTGTTTTGTTCTCAATCGGAGTTCCAGCGACTTGTCTCAATGCAATCATCCCAGGTGATTCGATCCGACTGTCGGATTACGTCGGATTATATCGGATTATATCGGAAAAATTACCGGATTCTAACGGATCCGACGGGAACTCGTCGGAAGTTGTCGGCGTCCTAGCCACAGGATTCCGACAGGAGGTTCCGGATGTCGGAATAATCAGGATCCTGCGAAATCCCTGAAACTCCGACACTTTCCGACATCCAGAACCACTTGTCGGAATCCTGTGGTTAGGATTCCGACAAATTCCGGCGAATTTCTATCGGATTCGACAGGGTGAATTCGACCTGGGATATTCATCGGCATAAAAACATTTCGTCGATCTCCATCAGCTTATTATGTGGTAGGGCAATCATTAGCCGATATCAATGTCTTGTTGATCATATTTCTGATAACAGTTCCATCCACATCAGCATTCACTTCAACGATTGGTTGTAAGTTATGGGTCTTTTTTGCTCAAACAACAGCGTCTATTGCTATGAGTTTTCTTTCTTTGTCTGCTTTTGATCGTTGGGCATGTACATCTCAATCAGCGCGAATATGTCAGCTGAGTTCGATTAATGTAGCTCGGACTATCTTTCCTATTGCTTTTATTTTCTGGTCACTTCTCAATGTTCCTTTTCTCATCTATTTTGATCTTGTGCCACCATTGTACACTTGTTCGTCCACTAACGATTTTTTTATGCGAATAGGACTTCTTTTTTTATCTACAATTCTCAGTTTTTTTCTTCGTCGTATTCGTCAGCAACCAAATCAAACTCGCTTATCAACATGGGAACAGTAAATGACAAGAATGATGTTAACTCAAACTCTTATAAGTGCCTTTTGTTCACTTCCTCGAGCTACTTATATGATTTATTCAATCGCTACAATAGAAGAGAGTGCAACAAGAAGCTTCGAACTAATGTCTATTATACTCCTCATTGATCAATTAACTGCTTCTATCAGTTCCATGAATTTTGCTTCATCTTTTTATATATTCCTTTTTTCATCAGCACGTTTTCGACAAACAATCCTGATGTATTTAAAGCGTGGATTTAGTATTGGAAATAACCAAATAACTCCAATGAATTTACAACTCACAGTCATAGCAATTAGTGAACGACAGGTTATAAAACGTACTGCTCATCCGACTGTTCAAATTGAATCGTTTCGATGAAAATATATTAAAATTGTCACTGTTTAAATGACTTTTCTATTCGAAACCTGTTCACTTTAAATTTCAAAGAAAGCTTTCTCAAATATTGACTTATATTTTATCTTATACGATGTCGAAAAATGAAGGTAGGCAAAACAATATAATTGCTTTTATCATTATTCGAAACAAGACTCTAACGGCATTCTTCACGAACGATTCACATAATTATTCGGTAGTATTCATTAGTCTCTTAAAAAATAAAATCTGCTTAAAATTGACATAATATTAATCAGTCATTGCACAATGATATTTCGAGAAATGTCTGGAGAAAGTCGTTCAGTTCAAAAATAAATTATACGATTTGATTCATTCGATTCTAAATTGTGTGAATGCTAACGTGAAACAGCGATCGTCGTTCTCTAAGACGATCTCGACTGAAAGCTAATGCCATACAATATTTTCTGTAATCGTATTCTTCAAAAAATTTATCATATCAACTGAAGTTTAGTGCAAAGACTCTATTTACTAGAAATTATTTTTATCGTAGCAACTGGAATACATCAAAAAATTATCAAGTTAGTGTGGACTTTATGGTAGTTTTTGTAAAATTAGCTATGAAACGTTTAATCCTTTATCGAATTTCTTCGTAAACATGACTTGAGAAAATCATAGAAAACTATCTAACCATTCAGTTACATAAAAAAATCGTTGTTTCGATGACATACAATTTCAAATTAAGCATTAAAATCAACAAATTTCCCTGCACCATGAAGAACTATATTTGACAAGTTGTTGATGATGCTATTTCTATAAGAAAAAAAACGGCTTGGAAACATTAACTTTGATGAGCCATCTTGACGGCTTCAGAATTAGAAATTATATGAAGATGTGGTAGAAAGAGTATAGAACTCGATAGTGAAATTGCATTGAAATAATATTATTTTCACTGAAGAAGAATTCCACGATTACTCATTCGAATTTTCATAACACAATGATGTCAGTTCATGAAATAGCTCTTTGAATAAAATTTTGTAGTCCTCTTACTGTTTTTTGAAATCGGAGCCCCAGCGGCTTGTCTCCCTACAATTATATTCATCCACATGAAAATATTTTGCTGACATCTATTAGCTTATTATGTGGTAGAATAATCATTAACTCATATTAATATCTTCTTACTCGTACTTGTGAAAATAATTCCATCCACGTCAGAATCAAATTCACCAATTGCTTTCAGGTTAATACCGCTCTTGACTCAAATGACAGTGTCTGTTGCCATGAGTTTTCAATCGGGTGTGGGTGTGGGTGTGAGTGTGGGTGGGTGTGGGTGAGTGTGGGTGGCGTGGGTGAGGGTGATGGTCTTTCTTCATTCTCGCCTACCCTCACCCACACCCTTTGTCTATTACGCATTTTTATTTAAGTTTTATGAAACAAAGTAAAAAAACAACTTTCTAGCACCTATTAAACATATACCATTTAATTTTCATGAAAAAAATCATCGATCACTGTCTGCTTGAATCCTTTTAAGTCAATGAAAAGTTGAGAGATTTGTGAGTCCATTCGAGAAGTAAAAGAATATAGTTGTGAGAATGTTGAGTGGCAACTAGAAGATGCAATCACTTGACTAGAGTGGGTGTGGATTTATTTCTTATTTTAACACCCACACACCCTACCCATACCCACATCCAAGATAGAGCGTTTGTTTCTCTATCATTTCATACGAAAAGAAACTCTCCTTCAGCTCACTATAAAGTATTAAAACGTCACTCTCACTACTTTTGGACTGACCAAAGTATTTTCTCGAGAATTATCACTCTTTTCAAAACTTGAGAGATGTATACAGAGTGAGTGTAGCTGAAAGTATGTCGCCCACACCCACATCCATCTACAATAAAGCAGCATTGGAAACTAAGTGTGTGTCCTATTCTAGGTCGAGAAATGCGTTGTACAATTATGAAACTGTTTCTAGCATTGTAATTCGTATTTTGGAAATGATTAAGCAAAGCTTTCTTTCATTCTTATATAGTATCCAGTTTCAATCCATGGATCGACAAAAAGTGGCGACATAGCAAGCAACGCTCCGGTTGCCCATGCCCATCCCATGAACTTGCCCACAGGACTCATTGTCTTCGCTGATAGTTTCATAACAATTTCTATTGCAATTAACACAGCTTGCAACATGAAGAAAAGAATGTTCTTGCCTGACCACAGATCACCAACTATTATTAATATATACTCGTGAAACACGCCTGATAAAGCAAAAGCAAGAAATGCACTTGTTGTTTTGTTCATTGTCTTAGTTGTCCCAGTCAGTTTTGGAATGACAACGAAAGACATGCGATGCAATATGATTTTCACAGGAGCATTCCAACGGCGTGACCAAAAGTCACGGAGACTCGTCGATGCAAATGGAAGGGATGGAAAGGACGAATTCATACGGACATTAAACAGAAGACCAACAACACCGAACATGATATTGTACATTATCGAAAGATGAAGATGCGTAATGACGCCCAGCAAAAGGGAACGAACAGGCCAGACAAATGGAAGAAATGATGAACAGGGAAGAGAGAGCCAATCGATCGGTATGACACGAAAGAGAGCTCGAAGAACGATAATTTGGCCCATGCTTCGCAAAAGGGTAAAGATATTCTCACGGCGAGCATCTATTGCATGTTCTTCTGTTTTTCCTGCCGAGGATACAGTCGACAGTGGAGAAGTCAAAATTTCTAGAACCACTTGTTTGGGTGTCATCTTTCGCATGTATGCCGGGAGACCGGAATTTCGGCCCAAGGAATTTTCGGCCCAGAGCCTAACTATCTTCAAAATGAAGTGAGGATGTGAGGGTGATGGTCAAAAATTCTGGGCCGAAAATTCCGTGGGCCGAAATTCCTGTAACCCTGTATGCCCATTCATGACCAAATGTCAACCCAAGAAATTGTAACGCTAGTATGAAACCCATTCCAGCACTGGATTCGTCCACGTATGTCTCTGCAAGGGACCAAGATGAGTGATATTTGCAGTAGATGGGTGTATAAAGAACAAGTAGAGAACAAACAATCGAAATCGAATGAAAAAGGTAAACCGAGTTGAAATGTTGACTAATCAAGAGGCCGAAGATGAACAGCGAAAGAAGGCAAGCAAAGAGCAACCAGATATTCATAAAAATAATTGCAGCCATGTTGACTAGTGAAAAAGAAATGTGAAGATATATATCAGTCGGTCGTTCGCTTGTTACTGATAAGAACATGAAGAATACGTGCAAATGTGCAGCTGCACGTTGAAATCAAAGAGGCCATGCCTCACATTTTGACATAGAAATTATATCGTACTGAAAACAATGCACACAAACGAGAGATTTATTTCTAAGGAGTTGAACAGCTAACAATAACGAACATACCATTCTCTATGGAGTGGGCGAGTGTGGGTCTTTCCTTCATCCACACTCACAGCCCAAAAAGTACTTGAAAATAGGTTGCTTGTCATTATCATAGATATGACTTTGTTTGATGAAGTTAATTTTTGAAATCAATAGAAAATCTTTTCACATTAACAAACACATTTTAACTAAAAATATTTCATGTAAATTTGAAAATCTATGAAAATGAAGCAAACAAAAATAAATTGAACAATCTATTCGATCTATGAGAATTCATTAATTATTCAAGTAATCATTATGCCATAAAAAAGCATTTAAAACAGTTTGATGTCTTTTTCGATATGTTTCTTCTGAATGAAATGATTGAGGACTCGACAATTGATCATTATTTTTTCGATGAAAATAATTTAATTTAAATATAATATAAATAATTGTCAATAGAAATAAAATAAAACTAGTCAATAAAGTGATTCGACAGATATAAAAAATGATCCATCTATGAATTTTAATCATTTGTTTTTGTACTGAATTAAGAGGAAAATCTCTTCTACATGTATCATCATAAATTGAATTTGTTCTTTTAACAGATAAACCATATACTTTTCTTATAGCACGAATATCATCATGACACATTATTCGACTTGCATATAAATGCATAACAGCAACAATATTTTTATTTGATAAGTTATTTTCTGTATGCTAATTTTTATAAATAAATAGTTTAAATAAACGAAAAAACAAACAAACTACCTCAATACCAAAACCATGAAGAGTTTCATGTAAGATAACAGAATAAAGATCGATAAAACAATGAGTTTCATCCGAATTACATTTATATTCTACTGGATCATATTGAAAATCTTGATGAATTATAAATGTATGATGAATATTAAATTTCATATAAGATATTTTTGAATTATTTATTTTATTTAACAATATTCCTCCATGAGCACGATAACGATTTTGTTTAATAACATCTGATGGATAAATAAGCATTACTCCGATACTTTCGACATCTTTTGTTGTTGCTGATGAATCATCACTAGGACATATTTCATAATTATAAAAATAAAAATGAAAATTGGCTTTATCTATTGATGATGCTTGATGTATTGAAGAGATTTTATTATTAATAACTTTATTTATATTATTAACAATATGATGAATATATAAACGAACATAATTTGAATCAATTTTATTCGGATAATAATTAGTTATCCAATAAATAAATTCATTTGGATTATTTAAATAACGCCAATCATTTAACCATAATTTATATTCAGGAAAAAGAACAAATCGTTTATAACGTTTTATATTATTTGTTTCGAGTTTTTGATCTCGACCTACTGATGAATATTCACATTTTATTTCATTATGATTCTTACATTCATTTATATTTGTTAGAAGATAAAAATAAAAAATAAAAAATCGAGATGCAAAAAGCATTTGTTTTTTAAAACTTAGTTACTAATGTCTAAAAAATATTTCGAAAAGTTTTATTTTTTTCTATAGAAAATTCTTCAGTAATGTCAATTTATTTCATGCACATATTTATTTTAATCATTGATTTATTAGCATTTTTCATATATTATCTATTTAATCATTAGCTTTTCATTATTCAAGTAAACAGTTTTGATTTTATTTTGAAATCAATATTTAAAAAGTTCTATGAATCATATTTTTTGTCTTCTATATTCGATCGTTGATTCCATAACAAAATCGAATTGATCAAATAAAAAATAAGAAAAAAAAATATCATTTAGGATATATTTAATATCAGAATTTGTTTTATTTTCGTTATTTCGTTTCTATTTTAAATTATTTTATCTATCATCATAGTCAAACAATTGAAAAATTATTGATAATTGATGATGAACATATTGTTTGATAAGATCATACATTTAATGAACAATATTTAGATAAATACTCGATACAAATATAATTATTATCAAGATTAATATGGCAAAGATAACAAATTTAAATCGATATTTATATGTAACTACGATAAATAATCTATGTTTTATGATAGATTTTTCTTCTAGATCATCAATAGGATTCAATCAGATCATTCGATTTTATGACAAGTTTTTTTTTTTAATATTTATTTCCAATGAATTATTTGTTAAAACAAACGATAAAGGAAAGTTTTTAAGATTTAATATCTCTACAAATATAAAAGTTGATTCAGAGATTTTTGTTCTCGGCAAATAACAAAATCATGGACAAAACACATGTCACCATAATTTTTCAAAGATTTTCATAGAATCTGAAATAATATTACAGAGAAGGATACAATATTATTTGTCATTAGTTGCTCGTCAAGAGATTTTCATGAATCTATTGATAAGAGATTCAAAAAGAGTTTCGTTCATACACTCTATCAATCTTTACTCTATTTTTAACTAATCCTCGAACAACTTCAATATTGACAATGAACAGCTTCGATTTTATTGTTAGGATATGATAATTAGAGTCTTTTCTTCATGGTTATTCATATCAGCGCTTAGCTATATCAATTGAAAAATTCTTGGAAATAATTGAAACTTAAAAAGAGAAAAATGATGTCAAAAATCAATTTATAACTGAAACAGAGACAATCATCAAATAAGCTTGTTTTCTTCTTGTTTACAATTTGTTACCTTTTATAAAATAAAAAAACTGAAAAAACTAAACACATGAAAAAATTGACATTCGATACAAATTAATATAGAACAAAACAAGAAAACAATCATTTATCATATTAAAACATTAGACAGCATACGAAAATAACAAAACTAAAATATATCTATTTGAATTTTATTTTATTTTTATTCTCGAATTAATTTATCTTTAAATAATGTGATTATACATGTATATATATACATACTTGTAAGTAACATATTTTAATCATGAAAATGAGATAAGGAGCGTCATCTATATGATAATGATCGAAAAATAAGATGAATGGTGATGAAAGCATCCATTGTGAATAAGGCGATGAGTTTTCTAGACAACTAAGTTCTGCATAATTAAAAGAAAATTCTTTAAAATGGCAACGCGTTCGTATGTTATACCAGATCTTGACGACGATGATGATAATCAAAAAGAATCAATGAATTTATTTTCTAAAAGAATAAAAACAGATAATATATCAATAACAAATGAAACAACGACATCATCATCATCATCATCAAATCTTATTAATGAAACAGATTCTTCAAGTAATTCATAGTTTTTAATTAAAAATAAACTTTTAAAATAAAATATATATTATTTAATAAAAGTATCATCTGTTCGTCCATCATCATCATCATCACTTCTTGTACATTCTCGTCAACGAGGAAATCCATTATTAAAACATATACGTCAAGTTAAATGGGAATATTCTGATATGATATTAGGTGGAGCTGATTATTCGATGAGTCGTAGTTCATGTGCATTATATTTATCTCTTCGTTATCATCAATTAAATCCAAATTATATATATGAACGACTTAAATCAAATAAATTACCATATCAATTAAAAATTTTACTTGTTCAATGTGATATAAATGAATCATCACAGTCATTGAAAGAACTTGCACGTCTTTCAATTATTTATGATTTAACACTTCTTGTTAGTTGGAATGATGAAGAATCAGCGAAATATTTAGAAACATATAAAATAATGGAAGGGAAATCAGCTGAAAATTTAATGGATCTACAACAATATCAATCAACTGATTATTTAACAAAATTTATTGATATGATTACACAGGTTTTTAAACTTTACTTTTATTTTTAATGTAAAATAAAAATAATTTTTCTTTTCAAAAAAAAAAAACAAAAGGTTAAATCAGTTAATAAAACAGATGGTCAAACATTATTACATGCATTTAGTTCATTAGATAAAATATTAAATTCATCAAATGAACAATTATGTGTTTGTCCAGGTTTAGGAACATTAAAAGCTCAAAGATTATATCAAGCATTCAATCAACCATTTAAAAGACAAAAACAAATAAAAATTCTTAATAAACAAGATAAACATTTTGATGATCAAATTAATTTTGATTTATCAAATATTGATGAAGATCTTTAAATAAGAAAAAGAAAAGAAAAAAAAATATATTTTTTTGTTATTTTAGATGGAAATCGGTGATAATATATTAGTTGATGGAAAATATCCAGCAACAATATTATATATTGGTTTAGTTGATGATCATTCTGGACAATGGATTGGAATTGAATATTGGAATCAACAAGGAAAACATAATGGAACTTTAAATGGAAAATTTTATTTTCAAACAAAACATCAACTTAATGGAGCTTTTATTAGACAACAAAGAATTCAATATGGAAATTCATTTACTCAAGCTATTTATAAACAATATATTAAAGCTTTTTCAAATGATTATATTACTGAAGATATTAATTATTCATTATTCGGTTTGTTTGTTTGTTTTTTTTCTTTATTATTTTATATAAAAACAAATAAGATTATCTCATTAGTAGAATTATTTAGAACATAGAAAAATCTATTTAAGATATTGAAATTTCGAGTTATTATTTTAATTGTTTTATGAGTAACTATCTTTTTCTAAATATACTACTAAAGAAAATTGAATGATTCGTTTCTTATTGATAAACTCAGTTAATAGATGTAATGGAAGTCGAGTTAAAAAAAAAGTTCGTTTTAAATTTTTCACGATCTATATTCTTGATGATTTAGAATTAATTTATTTATTTACTAAAGAATAATCATTATTAGAATATCGATTGATAGAATAGTCTACTTCACTTATTCATTATTTATATTAAATAAATATTTATAATAAGATTCATTTTATCAATTTCAAATGAGATTTTTCTCTAATATAAGAGATAAACAATTGTGATTTTAGTCAAAAATCTTCAATATTAAATATAATATAATTATCTCGATAAAACAATATTGTTTTTCTTTCATATTCAGACAAGATAAATCAACTAATGTTTGATTTTATTTATATATATGAAATAAGATTAATTTAATATAACAAATCATCTTAAAACTTTTCAATTATTTCAAAATAAATAAATTCGATTTCGACTAAAAAAAACGAAAAAAAATTTTTCTATTCAAAGAATTATTCATCATCTATCACTAAAAATAAATTAATGATTAATTAAATTTTCGATATTATTTTATTCTATAATAATATCTTTTATTCTCCTCGATATATATATATGTTTCTAAAAGAGATTTGACCTAAGTATTATAAACTAAAGATTGATTCGAAGATTTATCTTGATAAATAAGTTATTAAGATATTGCCTAGATATTCGATTTGTTAGAAAAATCATTTTCTATTTTTATCCGAACAAATCGATAGAGAATACATGTTTCTTTTACATTTAGTTTACATAGATCGACAGATTCTATATTTTTAGTTTTCTAAATAAAAAAATAAAACGACTCCAAACTTTGATAATAAATAATTCTACATAAGAATTCTCTCTCTCTTTCTACATATATAAAATATATTGAAAAACAAATAATTAATTAGATTAAAAAATCTTCTCAATAAAATAAATAAGAATTCAATCCAATTATTTCATATTAAAGCAAACATTCATCTCTACATATATATTAGACTCATTGAATTAAATATCTATTTAAAAAAAAACTAATAAAATCTTATTTATTATCCATAGGTAAAGAATATTCCGATTATGCTGTTGATTTATCATCAATAATTCGAATAGATTTATCATCTCAATGGGTTAATCAATTTGATGATAATGATGATATATATAATAATCTTAGTCAAATAAAAGAACTTAATATTCGTCAAAATTTAATTAAAAATTGGTCTCAATTATGGTTAATATTAGAAAAATATTTTCCTGAATTAGAAATTTTAAATGTTAGTAATTCTCGAATGAATATTGATAAATATCCATCAAAAGAATTTCTCAATATAAAACAAATTGTTCTTATTGATACTGATAATGATTGTCCTATATTTGAAAATATAATTAAATATTTTCCTAATTTAATTAATATTCATTTAGATTTAAATCATATAACATTAATATCAGAAAATTTTGTTAATCAAATTAAAAATTTAACTAATTTATCATTATCAGATAATCCAACATTAAAATATTGGAATCCATTTATTAATCGATTAGGTTTACTTAAATATCTTCAAGAATTAATTTTAAATAATTGTGGTATTTATCAAATTAAATTACCTGATCAAGGTACGTTTTTCAAAAGAAAAAAAAAATAATTTAAAAAAAAAATGTTTTTTTTTCTTTTAATATAAGATGAATCAAATGAATTATTTCCATCATTAAAATATTTA